TATTTTGTTTACAGAATTTAATCACATTGACTAAAATTAGAATACCAATGAAGTATCCAAGTCCTATCCTATCATATATAGAATTTTATCCGTGATTAAAATAAAAAGTAGAATAACTGTTGCGTTAATCAACGTAACGATTCGAGAGTAAAAATTTCGATGCAACCACCTCGCATAAAATTAAGATAATTAGCATGCAAACGGAGTGTGCGTTTTAATGATGCCCACTGCCTGGGACGCGAGACATTTATTTCAATATTATTTCCCCGGTGTTACATAAGTCGTAATTTGTTACGCAATGATTAATAATCGCGATCATACCGGTTGCGACAGGACAGTTACCGATAAGAACGATTAAAACACTGGAGAGTCGCGGGATGGAACGTATGCGGCCAGTGAAACAAGGAAGAAGGCCTAATCGAGTGAAAGCTAAGGTCAAAAGGCCAATAAACGTTCACGGAGCCGATAAGCTCGCTGCATAATAGCAAAATACCAATTGCGTTTCTCTACTTACTTTTACTTTCCTTTTTCTTACGCGTCGCGCCATCAAACCCACTCGGCTATTGCCGTGAGGTAAATGTCCCAATTTCTATTCATTCCCGTATTTTTCTACAATTTCGACGCGTAACAAACATAGAACATAAATACGAGAGAAAGTGGTTTTGATATTCTTCAACTTTGTTATCCATTATTCCAATATACGATAGTAGAAGAACTAAGAAAAAGACAAAATTCTTAAGGTACGGAATTGATGCACTTTTGGTGCTTTCAGGGCGGTCCTACGCTTCTCATCAAAAGTAGCGAATTATGTTTAGCTGAATAAAAATTAGCATATTCACCTTACGTACGAGTGACCCAAAGGCCGGTATTCAGAGTCGTTGCTTATTCTTAAGATCGTTTTAAACATTTGCTTAAGTTCCTGTTCCCTGTACAAGAACTGGAAATATGGGATAGACAGGGAGGGATACTAGCCAAAGGTTTCTGGACAATCTGGACCAACTTTGTGTTTGTATGTATACATAGGAAATACATATATAGCTCCTTTGACTATATATGTATTGATTTTCAGTCGATTGGCTGTTTATGATTGATAATTACACAGTATGGACTGATATCCAGACGATTTATAGCATAGCCTGTAATCGATTTTCAATCGATTGAAGTTAGCCTAGATTCGCTTTTTAGTAGACAGAAAGTTCACACGGTTATCGCGTGCGGTGTCACGCACTCGCGTTTTTACTCACGTTTCTTTTGCAATTGTGGCGTGATCAACGTTGAACCTATCAATTAGATAATTATTAATTCGTTTATGAAAATGTGTACATATGTGTATATGCGTGCTCGTGTGTAATTGAAGGAGGCTTGGAATTTGGAATGGACTATGGACGGACACGACGCTGGATACTGGGGTGAGTGCATGCGGTTTCCGTTTCATTAGATCATCGGAGAAACTTGCAATTAATCAAGAGTATAACCTGCTAATTAAAGCTTGCAAACACGTTAAACGTGCCCGGCAATTATCATTCATTGTATTAAATGCTAAATGGTTTTGATGAATCATGTATATGTATGTATGAACGTACGTACGTCTGTTCCCATCTTTTTTAAAGCAGCGACATAGTTTCCATAGTCTATTAGCAAAGCGAATTTCGACCTCAACGGCTAAATATGCACGAAGAAAGTAAATGAGTCTGCTGTTTCTAGTTATGAATAAATATCTATTTAATGAACTAATGGAAAGTATCAAACGATCAATGTCCGTTTTGCGACGTTAATTAGGGATTTATTATTTATCGGCTCGTGGATTGATGATGATTCAACCAGTTTTCATGATAGCTCGTTTATATTTCAATAATTATAGTTTTGTTTAAATATGTTTGAATACGATTGAGATTTGGGAGGGTTGCAGATAAATGATTAAATCTTTAGGTCAATTTAGTGACCCTCTAATATAGAATAGTT